ATTGTGGAGGTGTTGGCTTGCAAAGGAAACTAACTTCAACACGCCCTGTTCTTTGCTCGGTTGGAAGGTTCTGCATACTCACAATAGTAGGCAGCGTTGGCTCCAAACCACGCATTCGTCCTCGGAAAAAGCCTGTCCATAGAAAGCAATTAGACGATTGTAGGCCTCTCGCATGTGGCCAACGTCAAATTCGTCTCCAAGCAAGTGGTACTTGCTCCCCCTCTGGAAACCGCTACCCCCTAACATTCTAACAAAATGGTAACTAGCGGGCATAATTAACCTTAAAAGCTTGGGTTCCTTATATGAAATGAATTCAAACGGGTGCTAGCTCGATGTGCTTGCACTACACAGGGGACTTCTTGCGGTGTGCGTTGCGATTCTGGGCCATATTTGTCCATCATAAGGCGCCAGCACGGGAAACAGTGAAATATAGCGAATATCCAAGTATTCGCGTCAGGCCACAACTGTGACTGAGACGACGCAAACAAGCAACTTAAAGCTTTCCTCCGTCAGCAAAATTTACATGAGGAGGAGCGGTGTCCCTCAAAGGGATACGGCAAAGCACAGGGACATACAGTGAATCACACTGAAAATGGCATTACAAAATAACATACAGTAAAATTGCTCATTGATTGAGCCGGGTGTCAGCCCTTCAACCAAATGCATCTAGCTCTCCTGCTCATTTTCTGACGATACAAGCTCCTCCAGAGCTCGCCGCACCAAGTAAAGTAACACCTCCGTTGGCAAAGATGAAGCATTGTTGGAACCTGCACATGCTGCCCGCTGATTCTTGGAGAGGTTGAAGGACCCATCTGGTGATACCCCGCTCGCGAGTAGAGTAGCCGCAGTCGCCATTGCCAAGTCTCCCTGTCCAGCTGTAGTTGAGCTCGGCGGATTTGCGCCTTGGGCGGGCTGATCAGATGAAGAAGGACGAGCTTCAGATTCGTCGCTCTTGTTGACGGAGACAGAGGTCGAAGCGCCGTCTCCATCCTGCGACTGGAGTCCTGTAGCTCCTTGAGCGCTGCTGAGAACAGCTGGATGGGTGTCTATCGAAGTTGTCTCCTGTTCGTCCGAGTCATCGTCTTCGCCGCTTGCATCGCCTGAAGCGACGTTACTTTCGGGCAGGAAGAAACGAGTTTTCTTAGGCGCTTGCGCCTGTGAAACGACGCTGACCGACGGCGCCTTCTGATACCGCTTGGCTAGGCTGGTCCTCTCCGACTTGCGGCCTCGTTGCCAACGCTTTTTCGGAGCAGATTGTGCCGTCTGTTTCTCTCCACCAGCTGTGCCAACCCTGGAACGTCTCGAAACTTTTGTTCTTCGCCGTTGTCTCGGCAACGCCTCAGCTACCTCGTTGCCGCGGCGCCGACTTCTGTGCATAGCAGAGCTTCTCTGGCGATTTTGCATAGTGCTAGGGCGCTTACGATCAATCCGTGACTGACGCAAATCATTCCTTTGTCCTCCAGAGTTGCTGCTGCTGCTGTCGCTCCCCGAGCGGCTTCTGCGCAAATCCAATTTAGCATCCGTGCTGCTGCTGGGAACGTCGTCCGTGAGGGTATCAGGTAAGGGCGTTGAATATCCCGACCCACGTTCTGCTGCGGAGTCAGCATCAGGCTCAGGAGGATAGCCGTAGTACCCTGAAGTAACTGGCGAATAGCGGCGCCACTGCGGAATCGTACGTTCCCTCCTCTCCGTCGTACCACTACGCCGCCATGCTTCAACTTTGGATGCAGATCCTCGCTCCTCTTGACGCAGCACGTCCCGTGGAGGTTCAGCAGCTGAGAACGCCGAAACTGGATCGTAGCCTTCCGATAAGTTCACAGGACCGAAAGATGCCTTAGGCTCGTTTGGCTGTCTGGTATTGCGGTCAAAAAGTAAACTGTCTCGGGCAAAGGCGCCGCCGCTGGATCCACGGTGCGTCTCCTGTTTACTTTCGGTGTGAAATGAATTTGGGGAGGATTTAGACGCCTCGGATGCTCGTGAAGCTTGGATTCTTAGTCGACTGGGCATTCGTGGAAGAAAATCATCATCCCAAGAAAGCTGCATGGAGGCACTATCACTCCTTGCCCACTCGCAGCCCGCCCGAATTAGCTTCGCCCTCAAAGGGTCTACTGCGGAAGTTAACGCAACGAGCAGGGCTAACGCTGCCAATCCTATCCAATATGTTCCCGACTTAGCTAAGGCATGGAGTCGGCTGAACCTTTTGGCGGCGGGCCATTCGTACTTCCTATCTTGCTTCCTATATGCACTGTCTGCGCCGAAACGATGGCGGAACCTGCGTTCCGCCAAAGGAAATGTCTCAACGGGAGTAAAATTCGTATGTGCACTTGCGCTTGAGGAAAGTTGAGGGGAGGTAGAGATCGTCGCTGTGTTCCATATGAAGAGAGAGCTCTCCGTTTCACCCGGTGAAGCAGCATCGTTCTCGGTGGAGATACTCCCCGGGAGGTATGCACGGCTCTGCAAGTCATTGCTTATTCTCGATATTGGCTGGAGTTCCCCAAATGAAAAGCTCACCCCATCAAGTTCGTGGAATGCAGATGGCATCCTCAAGCTGAACGATGGCTGCGTCGAGCCCCGCTATAGGGGAGAGCCGCTGAAACGAAGCTCATGAATTCATTCTGAACCAAGTGCCATGCACATGTCCCTTGGACGTCTCGACGAGGCTATCATTGAGAAATGCTCGGGGCGCTGCAGTCACATGACCGCGCACATGTGGCGTATGAAGACACACGCCTCCGAAATGCCGCCCGCTGCCCTCAAAACATGTCGTATGATGTGAGAATTTTCTCCCGCAATGGTCTGCAGAAATGAAGAGCTGATTCATCCTTCAAGGAAGTCTGTATGGCGGCTGCAACCCCAGCCGTTAGCCAGATGTGAGCCGCACAGTATACACGGAAATATACGTGATGCAACAAGGTCGAATATGGGATGCAACTACAACAGGCCACAATATAAGACTCAATCAATACTGCAACGCGAACAGGCCAATTCGTGAGACTCAATTGATCCAAGCCCCAAATATAGTTCCTCCTGGATGCGCTGTTATCCGGGGTCTTCTGCGGCAACTTTATTAAGAGCGGCCCATGCACCAATGCAAAAAATATTCTACAATCGTGTGATCATAGCACTATTTCGTCATTTCATCTATGTAGTACTCAAGGAAGTGCTTCATTCAGTATTGCTTGCTTATGGCTGCACCGGTAGACGCTGAACGCTGTCTCATTGCCTACTTATGTGGGAGATGCCGGCGTGTAGGATACTGTAGCTCTTCGTGAGTGAACGTGTTTCATTTGCGGTGCCACCAATGTATATAAGCAGAATTACAGCTAGATATATTCTTTTCTATCCCTTCGCTGGGTAGCCAGGTCAGCGGGTACTGTAGAGTGCCAATGTCGAGCTGTTGGGCTCTACTGCTGCCAAATTTTAACCCTTTAAAAATATCATTAGATATAAGAACACCTGAGGCTGCGAGAGGCTGCTGGATATCAGGAAGTTGGAGTCGCAACAACCTGCAATGTATCCTGCACGGTGTTCGGCGTAGTGTTGTTGTAGCATTGTCTGTGTTAATATGGCGCGTGTACTTCTATTTCTGCGCAGTCTGGAGATACAAGGCAAATTACGCGTTCAACCATTGCCTATAGTTGCAGAGCATATAGCTAAACGGGCTTGGCCGTGCTTGCCTAACAACACTACACCCAACACCGCGCAGCATACCTTGCAGCACTCGTCGCAGCGAGGTGCGCAACAGCACATCTCATACGAACGCTTCTCCCGTGGCCCAGGCCTTTTCGCCTGGAGAATCAGGTTCCTCGGCAGTTGATAGGAGGTCCGCTGCTTTTTGTATAATATTACCTCAAGTATCTTGACTCCCTTGCAGCTCGCAGCGGTTCTCGAAAGTGATTGAATATAATCGACTACTGCTAAACTTGGTAGCGCCGAATAGTTATCGAGGGCAGGTATGAACAATGCAGTAGGGCTGCCTAGTGCGTAACAATGACTGAAGAAAAAAAGACCCTTGAAAATTTTCCGAAGTTTTAACAAAAAACCTTAGCCTTTGCCTCTCGCAGAATGGAAAATGACGGCGAGCTGCCCTTGTGTGCGGAAGCGACTCACCGTCGAGATCGTCTCCGAGCATAACCAAGTTTTTATATGTCGTCCCATGCTGTGAAAGGTGAATTTTAACCAAGAACAAACCAGGTAGAATACCACCGCCTCTGGCGACCATCCGAATATGACGAGCACCGTGATGCGGTTGCCTCGTACCTTTATTTTCGAAACGGACCAAAATGTCTACAGTTGTTATTGCCATCTTTATAAGAAGGAGCGAACGACGATGGCGGCTACAAAGCAAATGTTCTGCTTTCCGAAGACACGCTAGATCCATGCAAACCTCCTGGGACGTGCTGCGGCGCAACACGCCAGATCCATGCGTGCCGTCTGAGCGGCGCTGCCATGCAGGTTTATCCCAACGCCCGCAGAGGAACATGGTATAACAGGACAGAAAACACATAAGCAAGGGGAGCTATCGGTACCCCTCTACATCGAAAAGTATTGGCCACTGATGAACACAACTACAGTGGTGGAGCCGGAGCTTCTATATAACTGGTTCATAGCAGGAACGTCTGCCTGAGAGAGAAGATCGGCCGCAGGATGAGCAGTAGGGAGGGAGCAAAGTGTGAAATGGTTGAACTTGGTGAGATGATGGAATACCTTCGCAGTCAATAAAGGAAAAACGCCACCTCTACAGCCCTAGCTAAAAAGGAAGAGAGCGTGCCTGTAAACGACCCTGGCGTAGAGCCAATATGTTGGAGCCGCAGATGCCAAACCAAACAAGAAAGACATTAGAAGCGGTAACCGGCAGTAGCCACCAAATCCAGAAACCAAAGAACCTGAACGACGCACGGAGCGGCATGGCTGCTTATTTCGCAATAAATAAGGCCACAAAACTCGAGCTTGTAAACGCAAAGAAAACGCCAAAGAACTGGAGGATGTAGACTTTAAGCAGCGCCTCCAGAGGAGTAAGTGAGCTGATCCGGAGAACGCTGGTGCCCCCGTGCCACATGCAGCTCAGTGATGGGACAGAAGGCGAGATGAAAGCGCACCTGCACCCGCTAATCCACCATGAGTTAATTATCTGCGTATGCACGTTCGTAGTAGTGTTCAGGCGCTGTTAGCGCACCTTGATACGGGATGAGAAGCAGATCTGAGATCGAAGGCCACAGCAAGGCGGTGAAATCTAGCTGTCTATGTTTTAGCACAATCTCTGAGACAACGTCTTGCGGACAGTCCGCAAGACACGAGAGTCAGCAACATTATAGAAGTAAAATCTGACGTTAGTTCCGAAATGAGCCATCTTGCCATTATCCGATACTTCGAGTATCGTCGCTCCTCTTTCCTTGGAGCATCGTTTCCACTCCTCTTACCGTATAGGATGCGAATGCACT